GATCTAGTGACTAAGTTAATAGATCTACACGTAACATTTGTTCTAAAAGTTAGGCCTAATAAATCTAAATCTAGAATTGATGAGGCAGGGTTATATCTAGATCTGGGTAGATTCAATACAAAGTGCTTTTAATCTATGCACCCAAATCTAAGGTCTAATTTAGGTGTATAAAGCTAAATTTCTGTCATTATTATTACATCTAGATCCAAACCTAACACTAAAAAGATGGAAATAACAGGTCTAACATTAATGTTAGATCTAGATGTACTAGCAACTTAATCTAGGAACTGCAATCTAGCACCACCAATTAGTTAACCTATATTTAAGTTTTCTCATTCTATCAAAACCTTTAATATTAAATATAGCCTTTGAGTCTCTAGGCTTATATTATGTTATGATTACACCCTCCTCCACAGTGTGTGTAATTTTCATTCAAGCAATTTCAGACTTGTCTCCTGTAGTGTTCGTGTAGTTAAACCTATCGAGTTTTTAAATGTGATTTAGCAACTGTCAATAATTTATATGGTGCTCATAAGCATGATTTACCATCATATACACTCATCTGCATTGATTTTCTTACTGTTGTGTCACCTTAATTAACATGAGTATGTGTGGTCTAAATAATGGCAGTTAAAGTGAAACCAGGTCCAGATGTGCAAAACTAGTCCTGAGTTGTAACTATAATTGTATAATTTAAATATAATTTGTGGTTAAGAACTTAGGAAGGTAGAATGCTTCCTTTCATCTGACAATTTGCATGTTGCAACTAAATAGTAGTCAGTATTTATTAAGCTGCAAATTGTGCACGTCTTTTGCATCCTGTGCCTCACTTTCTTTTTTCGACATAATGGGCTAAAATAATAAATTTGATAGTGGAGTCAAGCAAATTGATGAGAGCTTTCCTTACTGGAAGTGATGACACCAGTAAGCCAGCATCTGTTCCTTTTGATGGCAGCAAAGAGGTCAAAGTGCAAGATTGTGAACATGCTATTTCATTTAAAAAAGAAAACAATGAAGAAACTGTTCTCTGTCCTGTTGAAAGCTAAAATAATAATAATAAACAAGAGGATTCCACTTTGT